TTGACTGCTCGGAGTCAGAATCTTCAATACACTTATTGCCTTAGCACACGAATATAAACGTTGCGAGGTTTGCATTTAACACATTCTTGCAACGGCCGAATGCAAACCAACACGTTTATTGCAGGTCCGATGACACGGCAGTCCTTGGCCTTGCCCGCAGCGCCAGAGGGGGGTGCTGTCATCTCAGAGGAGGAGACCGGCAAGGAATTTTCTCCCCTTAACGCTATCAAGAGCTCTCAGACGAAAGCTAAAAAGGGGATCCAAAAGCGCTGGAAGCTTTTTTTTTTTTGTAGAGAGCGGCGCGCGTGACCTTTGCTGCGATAAGGTCACGGGGCTGAGAGTTTGACAGGTGAGGGTGGCGGTCAAGCGGAGTGGGAGGAGCTAAGTGAGCTGCCGGAGTAAGCGAGCGGTTTGCAGCAGGAGACGATAAGCCCCTTTTTAGAAGCCTGTGGCGGATGGGTGTTGAAATGACGGTCTCAGTGGCACTCGCGCGATTCATCAGAAAACAGGTGAGTTCTGATTTTTTTTTCTTCATTTCAGTTTCATAGAATTGTTATTAATATGTTTCGTAGTAATTGCGTATTGTATCGTTCGCCACTTCAAAGGACTGAGCTAAGGGTTGGAGGAGGAGAATGTAACATCGAAGAATTTCTTAATAGAAGAGCGAAAAAGGTATATAAGAATAGCGAAAGAAACATAAATTCTAGTTATATTTGATTTACTTTAATGGTAGATAAGATATTGTGGTAAAGATATAAGTAGCCTACATAATCACACAACACACACAAACACACAACAAACATCCCCCCAAACGCACGCAACCCCTCCCCCCCTGTACACACACAACACACACACACACACACACACACACACACACACACACACACACACACACACACACACACACACACACACACACACAACACACACACACACACACACACGCACACACACACGCTAAAGCACCCACACGCACCCACAATATATAAGTAGGAACCCAGTCTCTCTTTTGAATCTCGCTTAACAGACAAGTTGAGCTGACGCTTGACATCCTCTACTATATTACACACTATATATTCTAAAGTGATAAAGCCAAGTTGAGACGAATGAAGTCCTGACGTCTACTTCGGGCAGACAAGGACGGGGCGAGGAGGAGAGAGGAAGGGGAGGAAGAGGAGAGTGGGAGGAGAGAGGAGGGGGGAGGAGGAAGGGGAGGAGAGAGGAAAGGGGAGGAGGAAGGGAAGGGAGGAGAGAAGGGGAGGAGAGAGAAGGGAGGAGAGAGGAAGGGGAGGAGAGAGGAGAGTGGAAGGGAGAAGAGGGAGGGAGGGAGGAGAGAGGAAGGGGAGAAGGAGAGGGGAGAGAGAGGAGAGTGGAAGAGGAGAAGAGGATGGGACGGGGGAGAGGAGAGAGGAAGGGGAGGAGAAGAGGAGGAGGGAGGAGAGAGGAGAGTGGAAGATGAGGAGGAGGGATGGGACGGGGCGAGGAGGAGAGAGGAAGGGGAGGAGAGAGGAAGGGGAGGAGAGAGGAAGGGGAGGAGAGAGGAAGGGGAGGAGAGAGGAGAGTGGAGAGTGGAAGAGGAGGATGAGACGGGGCGAGGGAGGAAGAGGAAGGGGAGGAGAGAGGAGAGGGGAGGAGAGGTGACTGAAGGGGAGAAGGGGGATGGGAAAGGGGGAAGAGGAGAGAAAAGGGAGGAAATAAAAGGGAAATGAGGGGAGGAGAGAGGAAGGGGAGGAGAAAGGAGATTGGAAGGGGACGATGGGATGGGAAAAAGGGAGGAGGAAGAGGAGAGGAGAGGAAGAAAGGGTCGGAAAGGGGGATAGAAGAGAGGAAGGGGGCAAAGAGGAGAGAGGGGAGAGAGAAGAGGAATGGGGAAGAAAGTGAGGAGAAAAAGGGGAGGAGGAGAGAAAGAGGAAAGGGGAGAGAAAGGGAGGAAGAGAGGAAAGAGGAGAGAGAGAGAGAGAGAGAGAGAGAGAGAGAGAGAGAAGAGAGAGAAGAGAGAGAGGAGAGAGAGGAGAGACGAGAGAGAGAGAGAGAAGAGAGAGAGAGAGAGAAGAGGGTGGAGAAGGGAGGGTGAGGAGGAGAGGAACGAGGAACAGGGAAGAAGGATTAAGAAGAAGGAGAAGAGAGGGAAGGATGGGAAGAGGAGGAATGAAGAAGGGGAGAGGAAGGTGGGGAAAGAGATAAGGAAAGTGAGAACAGAGAGGAAGAAGAGGTATAAGCATAGGGAGGGCGAGGGGAAGAGGAACGAGGAGGAGGAGAAGAGGGAAGAGAGTTGAGAGGGTGAAGGAAACAGGGAAGGAGAAGGGAAGAAGAGACAAGGAAAAAGGAAAGGAAAAGAAGGATGAAGAAGGGGGGAGGAGAGACGAGGGACGACGAGGAGGAGGAAGAGGGAAGAGAGATGAGAGGGTGAAGGAATCAGAGAGGAGAAGGGAAGAAGAGACGAGGAAAAAGGAAGGGAAAAAAGGATGAAAAAGGGGAAGGAGAGAGGGACGAGGAGGAGGAGGAAGAGGGAAAGGAGGAGAGATGAGTGGGTGAAGAAACAGAGAGTGGGAAGGTAAGAAGAGACGATGAAAAGAGAGGGTAGGGAAGGGAAAAGAAGGATGAAGAAGGGGGGAGGAGAGACGAGAGACGAGGAAGGAGGGCGCAAGCGAGATGAGAAAAGGCAGGGGAGCGGGGGCGCCGTGCATGAAGGCGTGCAAATGGGATCTGTGTCATATTTGGAGTAAATTGATGGGAAGGGAAGGCGCCGCCGCAACGTCCCCTCAGGCAGGAGAGGGGAGTCTTCTTGTCATAGCGTATGAAAGGAGAGAGAAAATGCAGGGAACTTGAGGCCCAGGGCGTAACTCGCCTTGCACTCACGCTTAAAAAAAGACACGAAATACGAGGGGTTTTCTGTGGTAAATTACCTCAGCGTTGCTCTTGATATTTCCATTTTTGTCATGTAAGTTACAGTGTTTGCGCGCGGCACTGCCTCGGAAGTAATAGAATAAACAAACTGGCCAGGAGAGCACACCTCGCGAATGTCACGCCTCGGCACTTTTAACCCTTTTGCCACGCAAAAGTTTTATTTTTTGTTTTGGCTTTCTCTTTTTCATCGCCAGATTGTATTTTATTTAAAAAATCATCAGTTTTAGAATGTCTACAAACTGTTGTATATTATAGGAAACTCCTTGTTTTTCTATAAGTACATACGATGACAAGTTTGGTAAGACTTTTACTTGACATCTTACTCCCTGCATGCCATACGTTTCTCATCACTGCATTCCATATCACACGTATCTCCAAAGCGCAAATAGGAATTTCATATTTTTCAAAGCCATTGCGTTACTCAACACATGGAAAAACAAGTCTGCATAATATATTAACGAGAGCTTCTTCACAAGGGCAGAGAGAAGAGAGACAAGAGAGAAGCAGAGATTTCGTAAAGGCAGAAAACACCTTGTCCTCCCTTCACATATAGACAGAATTCCGTGTCGTTTGTAAACTCTAGGGGACTGATCTGACGGCGTGTTTGATTCCTCCTCTTCTCCAGGAAATATTTTTGAATTTGAGGCGATACAGAGCTTACTTTCAGTGACGATGATGGTTTCTTGACTTACGAGAGGATAACACTGCAAGCGTATCCCTTTTGTGAATCCGTTTCGGGATCAGTGGAAATATCTTATGCATAGAATCCCTTCCCTTTCTTGTATTATGATATGGATTTACGTCATAACGACAGTATTCAATGACTTTAATCCTCCCCCCCAAAAAAAAAAAAAAAGAAAACAGGAAAAGAAGAAAAACAAGGAAATTAATAATTGCAAAAACATGCGAAACAAACAAAGGGAACGGACAAAATATACAAAAATACAAAACAATATAAAACATATAACATACACAACAAACAGATCTATCTATGATCTATCTATCTAATCTATCTATTAATCTATCTATATATATATATATATATATATATATATATATATATATAATATATAATATATATATATATATACATCATTTATATCTGTCTATATATATGCACACACATACACACATATAATATGCATAAAGTACAAATATACATATACATATAATATATATTTATATAATATATATATATATATATATATAATATATATATATATATATATATATGTATCTATATACATACTTAGATAGATAGATAAATGTATAAATATATATGTATACATACACGCGCGCGCAGAATATCAACCGCACTTAAAAAAGGCTCCACTGAATCCCCGTGGGCCATTCACGCCAAAGGAGACTGCTATTTCCCCAGATGGTCAGTAACACCAAGACTGACTCCATACAGCAATGTTTAATTAGATAGCAGTGACATTAGAATAATAATCATTACTGGTGTCTCTTTTTTGATTATCAGTAATATTAAGGAAACCGCCGCAAAACGCAGTAATAGTGATGTTCATCATGACATACATACGCCTATTAATTAATACACATTCCTATTAATTACAAGCTGTTTAACGATAAAAGAAAGAGACACACTCGTAGATGAAGGGAAAGAAAAGGGTAAAACGCTAACTTGGCGAACATAACGAAGAAGTCCGCAGAGAAAACGTAAAGTGGGTGTATTTACGTTCAGTAGCTTTGCACATTCAGAATTTAAGATGATTTTTAGGACGCCATCTATGCGAGCAGACTGATAAGGATCAGCTGCAAGTTCGTATTTTGAGTGGCGTACCGTAGTATGGACACTATACGCTAAAACAGTTTTTTTTCTGGATATGTCCTTTGAAATGAAGGTACGTCTTATATGCCGTTATATTTTGTATGGTATGAATATCACACACACACCCACACACACAAACACACACACACACACACACACACTCACACATATATATGCATTGTGTGTATATATATCTATATCTATATCTATTTATCTATTATCTATATATAGTTATAGCTATAGATATGCATGTATATATATATATATATATATATATATATTATATATATATATTATATGTATATATATATATATATATATATATATATATATATATATATATAATATATATATATATATATATATATATATATATATATATATATATATATATATATATATATATATATAATATATTTATATATATATAATATATATATATATATATATATATATGTATGTGTTATAATATATATATGTGTGTGTGTGTGTGTGTGTGTGTGTGTGTGTGTGTGTGTGTGTGTGTGTGTGTGTGTGTGTACATATATGTATATATATATACATACATGTATATACATTATATATATCTCTATTATTTAATGTATCTATCTATATTTCAATAACTCTATCTATATCTAATATCTATCATCTATCTATCTATCTATCTATCTATCTATCTATATATATATATATATATATATATTATAATTTAGCACAGCAAAAAACTTAATCCATCTCCATACTAATTTCCTTCAAGAGAACACACGCTGTACCTCCTTCAGAACATCACACCATGCACACGCTGTCACACATCCTTCCGAAGAACACATAAACCCATGTTAGAGACGTAGTTATTAGTTATTAGTTATCATTAAGTTTAAGTTATTAGTTATATCGTTATTAGTTATTATATTATTAGTGTTATTAGTTATTATTATTATTAGTTATTGTTATTAGTTATTATTAGGTTAATTAATTGTTATTGTTATTAGTTATTATTAAGTTATTGTTATTAGTTATTATTGTTATTGTTATTAGTTATTATTTATTAGTTATTAGTTATTATTAAGTTATTGTTATTAGTTATTATTAAGTTATTGTTAAGTTATTATTAAGTTATCCATTAAGTTATCCCCTATCCTGCAGAGACTCACCATCACCCACTACCTGTACTTCGCCCTCGCCGTGTGGCTTCTCGTGCTGATCCACCGGCACCTCCGACAACCCACCGTCACGACCATTCGCTTCGTCGGTGAGTAGAGGGGCGTGTCTTCGAGGGGTTGAGGTCGGGGTTGAGGGAGGGTTGAGATGGATGGGTTTTGAGGGTGAAGGAGGGTGAGGAGGATGGGTTTTGAGGATGAAAGAAGGGAGGGATAGGTAGGTGTGAGGTTGGAGCGAGAGGAAGGATGGTGAAGGAAGGCAGGGTGGATATATGTATATATATATATATATATATATATATATATATATATATATATTATATATATATATATATATATATATATATATATTATATATATATAATGCGGAGGAAGTGGTGAAGTAAATTGAGAATGGGAGGGAATGGGATAAAAGAGAGGAAAAAATACAAGGAATTAGGGTGAAAAGAAAAGATGATAGAGAGAGAGAGGAGAGAGAGAGAGAGAGAGAGAGAGAGAGAGAGAGAGAGAGAGAGAGAGAGAAGAGAGAGAGAGAAAGAGAGAAAGAGAGAGAGAGAGAGAGAGAGAGAGAGAGAGAGAGAGAGAGAGAGAGAGAGAGAGAGAAAGAGAAAAGAAAGAGTGAGTCCAAAACTCACTGAACGCAGATTATATCCCCAAGTCCAGAAAAAAGACAAAGAAGAAAGAAAGAAAAGAAAGACGATTATAAAGAAGAAGAAAAGGGAATGGGGAGGCGGAGAACTGCCAAAAACAACCCTTAAAACCCTATATCCTTCGACCTTCCTTCCCAGTTACATACCCCTAACCACACGCCCTTAACACATCTCACCCCCGGAACAGACGAAGGCACCGACGGGAAAGTCACTCACCTGGTCCTCCCGACGCCCCACAAGGTCGTTGCTGCCGAGGCGTATCGCGCACTGAAGGCGGTGAGAGATAATATGCTGAAGGAATTCATCGGCGTTGACCTTCCGCCTTGGCTGGACGACTACGCGAATAAGACGCAGGTAAAAAGACGACTTCGTTTACGATATGATATCTTTGGGCTATTTCGCTGATTCTCCTTCGTTTACTATCTTTGGGCTATTTCGCTGATTCTCCTTCGTTTACTATCTTTGGGCTATTTCGCTGATTCATCATCTAATTACTGCTACTGCTGCTACTATTCTTCTTATTATTGTTATCATTATCATTATTGTTATTATCATTATCGTTATTGTTTCACAAGGTGATTAAAGATGATACTTGAAGTCACTCCTTTATTGTAGGGTTCAGCCTATGAGCAATTCACATGTAAACAAATGGTACGAAATTAATGATAATCGGCCGGTTTGTTAAAATTGTGCCAGGCCCGACCCAATGAATTTTCATAAAAAAATAGACATGCATATACGCAGACATAAATGAATATTTGTCTATATATCTGATAGATATACATTTAACTATCTATTTTCCCGGTTGATATGCATGTCTAGACTGATAATTATGCATTTATTTCTTTATTTTTGCATGTCAAGCATACGAATATCCTTTGGGTCGGGCCTCGCACAATTCTAACAAACCGGCAGAATATCTCCATTAAACTGTAGGGTATAATATGTAAACATTTCACAAGTACAGAGTAAACACTAAGAACTAGACAAATGATAACACCCTCTATTACAACGCCAGATTAACTGACCCCTTACAACCAGTGATGATTGAATAAGCAAAATATAAATATGCCTTGCGTGACAGGAATGATACAAACTCAATTATATAAGTTACATGATAAGTATGAAATAATTTATTGCAAAACATGACGAGTATCTCACTCATACAGCGCCTCCCCTGTGTCATAATGCATTCTCACAATACTTTACAAAACACAATGTAGTGATATTTCCCAAAAGCCCAAATAGGCTACCTTGATCAACAGGGATTATGATCCGTCCTGATAAGAGTAACCCAAGACAAAATATTAATTCGGTGTTGTTTACATTTCGCAGTTCAACATTCCAGACCGATATTGATAACAAAATATAACCCATAGCACAGCAATAACGCTATTAGCACAATGCTATGATGGCAGTGTCTTCTGAAAACCGAAGAGTTCATGGGTTCATGCAACTACGCCCGCACAGTCAGGCGATGCACACGGTTGCCGCCTCTACACTTGGTTCTGGGGCGGCGCTGCGTCTCCAACAGAATATCACAATGCGCAACTCAGATTCCAGTGGTTAGAAATCGTAGATATATAAAAGCTCATCTATATACATCACTTTTGTTATTTCTATCACTCGAATAGTAAGTTTAACCTCCACACACACACACACAGACACACATAATTATAATATTCCTTCCTAATTAAACTGAGAACAGTAAAGAGGAGATACTGAGATATTCAGTTAGATATACACTCTGGACGCTAACATATATTCATTCACACATTGCGATATGGAGCGTTTAGATCAAAGGAACCAGGGGAGCTTCACAAACAAAATACAGCGTCACTGCTCCACTATTTTCTTATAACTTTATAATTACTGGGATAGTTACTTCTCGATTGGACTTTGATCACGTTATTGATGCTTCCCTCCTGTTTATTCTTTAGACTGTTTTAATTCAATATATCAAATACACTAGGAATAAACACACGTGGTGGAGTGGATAATGAAACGCACTCATTTTCCACCACTTTAATAATATAATAATGCTATGGTCCAGTATTTACACAGGCACAGATCCGCGAGGCTGTAGTTGAGTGACCGCGAGAGCACCTGGCTTCTCGCTTGGTCCCATACATGCGTTTTATGCTGAATGGAGTAGATTTGCAATAGTAAGAGAGAGAGAGAGATAGATAGATAAATAGATATATAGATAGAGAATGTGTGTGTGTGAGAGATAGATAGATAGATAGATAGATAGATAGATAGATAGATAGTTAGATAGATAGATAGATAGATAGATAGATAGATAGAGAGAGAGAGAGAGAGAGAGAGAGAGAGAGAGAGAGAGAGAGAGAGAGAGAGAGAGAGAGAGAGAAAGAAAGAAAGAAAGAGGGAGAGAGAGACAGAACCCCAATCCCAATCTCTCACAATCCCCTTAAAATCCACGCTTGATCTTGCCTTAATGGATAATATCTATACATGTCAATAACAATATAAATAAGCAATAGATCTATACCAATATATAAATACAGTATTAAATATATAACCAAGTTATGATTGTGACGATCACGTGATTTATATACCCCAATATCAAAAAAGGATTAACATGATTACTTCCTACCATTCCCGTGACATAGATGGCGCCCTATGACTATTTGTTTTGTTATTTTTGAGTCCTTGTGACAGCAGAACATTCCAGAAGGCCACCAAAGGAGACGAATCAGACACAAAAGAACATCGCTTTGCGCAGTGACAAACGCTCCAAGCAAATTATCATTTAATTCTTGGAAAAAACGCACTCCATTATCATTTTTACTGATACAATATCCATACGTGACTTTTTGTATTCGAATACTAATTGGAAGGGACCGGTGACTTGAAGAGAATGATGTAAAAAATGGAATTAAAACCTTTAATATTCCCATGCTCAGCAAGCGATTAATTTCTTTTTGATTAATGTTAATGACTAACTGTCCCACTGTGAAAAAATATCTGCATTTGGGATGACCCAGGTTAATTAAACCTTGCTGTGTCTGGCCGATAACATCAATCAACATCAACACGAGATAAATGCAATTTTTAAGCATATTATTTTGATCACTAAATGTTTTTTTTTCTGGTTCTTTCTTATTACTCTTGGTGCAAAATATATAAATCCAGAAGAGAGAGAGAGAGAGAGAGAGAGAGAGAGAGAGAGAGAGAGAGAGAGAGAGAGAGAGAGAGAGAGAGAGAGAGAGAGAGAGAGAGAGAGAGAGAGAGAGAGAGAGAGAGAGAGAGAGAGAGAGAGAGAGAGAGAGAGAGAGAGAGAGAGAGAGAGAGAGAGAGAGAGAAACAGCTGTTTTGTCTCATCTTGTACATAGAATTATTTTTAATGATAAATATAATAATGACGATGAGGAAGATAAAAATATGATAATGAGAATAATAATGATGATGATGGTGAGATAATGATGATGATGCAATAAAAATTGTGTGTGTGTGTGTGTATGTGTGTGTGTGTGTGTGTGTGTGTGTGTGTGTGTGTGTGTTGTGTGTGTGTGTGTATGTGTTTGTGTGTTGTGTATGTGTTTGTGTGTATGTGCGTGGATATTATAACCATATAATTAATTCTATTAAAGTTAGGCTAAGACACACCTCTGAATTATCCTGTTAACCAACGAACAAACAAAATAATGTAATGATAATGATGAAAATAATGATAGTAATAAAGATATTAATGATAATGGTAATATTAAAGACAAAATTGTTAATAATAATGATGATAATATTAATGATAGTGTTGATAAGGGCAGTGATAATAATAACAATAATGATAATAATAATAATAATGACGATAATAATAATAGTAATATCGATAATAATAATGATAATAATAATGATAATAATAATATATATATAATAATAATAATAATAATAATAATAATATAAATAATAATAATAATAATAATAATGATAATAATAATGAATAATAATAATAATGATGATAAATAATGATAATAATAAAGATAATAATGATGATAATAATGACCATGAACGTAATGATAATAGTGATAATTATAATGATAATGATAACAAGAGTGATAATGATGATAATGATGGTAATAATGCTTATAGCGACAATAATGATAATTATATTAACAATAAAATCGGTAGTAGCGGTAGTAGTAATAAAAACTAGAAGCACTCAGAGAACGCATACCTCTTCCAGGGCAATAGCGTACCTGATGCAATAAGAATATTCACACTTGAAGAATTACCTTAAAATCCCCTCTTTCTCAGGTACACATTTGGCGTCCGTGTTTCACTATCTCGCAATGTTGATAAATTCTTTAAAAAATCCTGGATCCGGAAACTGATCCTGATTACCACCAAAATTTGATTAAATCTAAGTTGACACACCTATGGTAAAGAATACTTAAAAATCTGTTCTTAACTTTTTGAAAAGGTAATGATATCAACAACAATGATAATAGTAATAGAAATAATTTGTTCTTGTGTATGGTTATTCGTGCTCCAAATTATTTTCACTCCTTTGTTTTCTCATTGGCTACAACGCAGGCTCTTCAATGGTAATGAAATGTGGCGTGATATCCCCTAGACTTTCTGCATCCTCGGTTTATAAAACCATATTCTTTCTTTTATGGTTGTGTTCTAAATTTCTTTACTTCAAACTCGAATTTGTCAGTGAATTTAACTCATATGGAAGTAGAACTTATTCTCTCTCTCTCTATCTCTTTTTCTCTTTCTCTCTCATCTCTCCTCTTCTCTCCCCGTCTTCTCTCTCTCTCTGCTCTCGCTCTCTATTCTTCTCTCGACTTTCAGCAAATTCTACTCCTGCTCGGTCCTCCCTCTCTCTCGTCTTCTCCTTCTGTTCTCCGTCTCACTGCCGTCCTCCACTCATTCCTACTACTCCATTTCTGTCTCTTCTTCTTTTACTCTCTCCTTCACCTTCCTCGACCTCTCTCATATATCTCCTCTCATTCTACACATACACCACATCTCTCCTCCCTTCTCCCTATCCATGCCTCCACCTCCGTCCTCTTCTCTCTCACTCCCATCTCCTCCTCCTCTCCTCTCTCTATAATATATATATATATATATTAATATATATATACATATATATATAATATATATATATATATATATATATATATATATATATATATATATATAATATATATATATATATATATATATATATATTATATAATATAAATATATATATATATATATATAGCATATATAATATTATATATATATATATATATTTATATATTATATATATATATATATATAATGTTATTATATTATATATATATAATCTATAATATATATATATATATATATATATATATATA